CAGGGGTAGTCAACCTTGGCTCTTTTATGACTCGTGGACTTCAATTCCCAGAATTCCTGAGCCAGCTTAGCTGGCTCAGGAATTCTGGGAGTTGAAGTCCACGAGTCATAAAAGAGCCAAGGTTGACTACCCCTGGTCTAGAGTGAAAAGTAACAACAAAAATCTCAACAACAACAAAAAAGGGCCAATCATTTTAGTATTGTTGACAAAACAACTGCATGGACACATCCATGAAATCACCAGAACCTTTAAAAAACAAAATGTGCACTCGAATGAGGATAACCAGCTAGGACCAGCGGAGAATTAAAGGATAGATTTGTTTTTTTTCCAAGTATGCTTTGCAATTACTTTTGGGAAAATAAACAGCCAGCCAAGAAGATGGTGACCACATGCGTCTTTGTTGAAATTATCAGGAAACTGACACTTATAGTAAACAGTCAGGCATTATGAGTTATGGACAGATTACAGATTACTTAAAAGTTTTTGGAAATGGCTCTGGGCTTGGAGGTTAAGCAATTGGGGGGTGGGGGTGGGGAAATATGGGATTCATGTGTAAGTATAAAAGGTATCTTGCAGAATAAAGAATCAAGAGCAGGAAATTAACTGTTCTGGAGAAGTTGAAACGATTACTTACAAGCGTTTTAGATCCTGAAGACCCAGAAAAGCTCCAGGCTGAATGGTACTAATCAAATTGTTCTTTAGGTCTCTGGGAAATAAGGAAAAAAAAGAAACATAAGATGTTGCACTGAAGAATGGGTGAATTTTGTTCTGGATGGATCCTTGAGGCTAAGGGTTGAAACTTTCTTAAGGCTACTACTCTCTCTATTCTCTTTATAGCAGTCAATATTTATTCAGTTAATGCTCGCCAAAATTTAAAAGAACAAAACCCAGAGTGAAGCAAATAAATACAATAATACACTAAAAACTAGCAAGATAAATTGCCTGTGATTTGTTGAGAAATTGATAATGGAGCCATATTTTTTTTTCAGTTCTTATTTTCACGAGGGAGAAAGGAAAACAGTTAAGAAAAAGTCCTGCTGGATTTTATTCAATTTCCCCAAATGAATTCTTTCCAGAAGGGTTTCACAACCATAACTGACTTATTTGGGTCAGGCACAAAACAACAAGGACCTTTTTAGAAGATTGAAAATCTTTCGTGGACTTTTTGCTGAAAGTGAAGGGATGATTTATGGATTTGATGATTAAAAAAGGGGCTAAATAAAGGGCCGAAGGGATTTTTGTACTATTAAGGAAGAAAGTTAGGCCTAGGTTGCTAATTTCTGTTGCAAAGGCGATTGGAAAGGCGCTTATTTTTCTGACTTTTGTTCTATTAGTTGTTCTACTTTTTTCCTTCTCTTTATTACTCTTTCTTCTCTTTTTTTCTTTTCAATTTGTCTTTTATAGCTTGAAGAACATCCTTCATAAAAATTATATATTGCACAACAACAAAAAAAGAATTATTTCCTCGCTTATTTTTCTGACTTTTGTTCTATTAGTTGTTCTACTTTTTTCCTTCTCTTTATTACTCTTTCTTCTCTTTTTTTCTTCTCAATTTGTCTTTTATTGCTTGAAGAACATCCTTCATAAAAATTATATATTGCACAACAACAACAAAGGAATTATTTTCTTGCCCATTTCTGGTAACATCACAGGAAGATGAACTGTTGCTCAAGAATACTAGGTATTTACTTATCTTTTGGATAAGTCCAGCTAATCCCTTGGATGTTCTTCCTCAGCGGAACTAACTTCCTCATTGTTTGAAACCCATTGATGGATTCCCATCTTCTGAAGATAAGTTTCTCTTAGTTGTCCCATAGAGTCCAAAGGCCCCCTCTAACCTTAACCTCACATCAAAGAAGGTTTTATAGCTGTAAGAAGGTTTGTTATTGTTCTGCAATTCATTAAGGATCACCATCAGGACTTCCCTTGTAATTGTAACTTCTTCCTACTCTCAGCTTATGCTACACACTAAGAAAACAACAGTGCATACTCACACAAACAAGCCCACCCATACTTCATGACTTCTTGCCAAAAAGACTAGGACAGCAGCAATATCCTTCTGTTCCACAGAAAAAGAAAATAGCTCTTTGGGTGCTGCCTGTAAGTTTTCCTAAACATTTCATGCTTTCCAGGTATCAAATCCAGGTGACCAGGCTAAAATGAAGCTGAAGCTAAAGTGTGAAGCTGAGAGAGATCACACTTAGAATACTGCATCCAGTTTTGGTCACCATATTATAAAAAAAAATAATGTAGAGACTCTGGGAAGAGTTCAGAAAAAGAGCAACAAAGATTATTAGGGAGCTGGAGGCTAAAACATGAAGAATGGTTGCAGGAATTGTCTAGTGAAAAGAAAGATTAGGGGTGATATGATAGCCATGTTCCAATATTTGAGGGGCTCCCAGGAGGAGGAGGAGGAGGAGGAGAAGAAGAAGAAGAAGAAGAAGAAGAAGAAGAAGAAGAAGAAGAAGAAGAAATAGTAGTAGTAGTAGTAGTAGTAGTAATAGTAGTAGTAGTAGTAGTAGTAGTAGTAGTAGTAGTAGTAGTAGTAGTAGTAGTAGTTATCCATTCAGTCATGTCCACTCCTGGCGATTCTCTGGGCCAGGTCTCTCCATGTCATCTGATCTTGCACTACTTCTTTGAGTTTTTCCATGCTCTGGTTAGTGTCAGCTTTGATGGTGTGCAGCCACCATGTTCTTTGAAGTCCTGGTTTTCTTCAGTGGAGGATACCCTGCCCCATTTACATAGAGAGTCTTGATAGATGGCATGCAAGATACGAATCCTAGTCAGAGTTTTCCAGCTTTAGCGGGTGGCATCAAAACCTGCTAATTTTTGTGTTGGGTCAGGTATATTTTTTCCGAACAAAGGAAGAAGAAGGATGGAGTAGAGCAGAGCTGGATGGGGACGGGGTGCTCTTTCACTAGAAACAAGTATGACCAATGAGGGACCATCTGGAACAAAGCAACTGGGATGAATATTAGGGGTAAGGCAGAAGGTTTTATGGAATGGCCACAATTAAGGTATGGAAATCACTTCCACAGGATCTTGGGCTCAGCAGCAACTTGGAAGGCTTGAAAAAGCATGTAAACAAATGCTTGATATATAACATTATTTATTGCTCTCCAACCTTCCTTTTGGCCAAGAGGTTCCAGAAAATCCCATGCCATGAATGCCTTTGTCATTGTAAATCAGGAACCATTACTTTCAACCTTATCAAGATCTGTAACACAAATTTATTACATCTTCCTTAACCCTTGCCCAAGCCATACACACTTTTTATCTCAATTACCTTTTAGCTGATCTGAATGATTTATTATAGGAAAGTCATCAAGCTCTGTTTAATAGTCAGCAAGATCTGGCAAGACTTCACTAGGAACAGTTTTGGTTTGATTAAACATGCTCAAAGTTTAATAATAATAATGGTTAATTCTCCTGTTCAACTCTCAGGAATAGAATAGGATAGGATAGGATAGGATAGAATCAGAGTTGGAAGGGACCTTGGAGATCTTCTAGTCCAACCCCCTGCTCAGGCAGAAAATTCTATACCATTTCAGACAAATAGTTGTCCAATCTCTGCTTAAAAACTTCCAGTGTTGGAGCATTCACAACTTCTGGAGGAAAGTTGTGCCATTGATTAATTGTTCTACCTGTCAGGAAATTCACTGTCCAGAAGTGATGAATGCTCCAACACTGGAAGTTTTTAAGCAGAGATTGTACAACCATTTGTCTGAAATGGAATAGGGTTTCCTGCCTGAGCAGGGGGTTGGACTAGAAGACCTCCAAGATCCCTTCCAATTCTATTCTATTCTATTCTATTCTATTCTATTCTATTCTATTCTATTCTATTCATAATATATTACAATTAGTGGTGGATTGTTGGTGGGTAATCAAAGTCTGCTTAATTTTGCAAGCAAAATTTAGCTATATTTAAAGAAATTACATTGTACTGATCTGATAACAGCAATTGTACGTAGGAAAGGTTAACAAATAATTATTATTCATCGCACAGTCAGCCAAATATTCAGACTGGATTCTAACCCTAACCCCAACCCTTCCCAATCACTTGGGATAGGCAGTTGTGGCTGTTTGATGGTGTTAAATAACAAATATAACAATTGGTATTATTTTTGTTGGAGAAGGAGAAAGAGTCTGTCAAATAAAGAAATCTGCCATGTTTGTCTTTCCATGTGAACACAAACATGGAGATGTTGAGGAATCTTATATGGAAAAAGATATGAAGCAGATTTTCCAAGTTTTGGGAAAAGTTGACTCAATTTTTACGTATAGAACAAAGAACCCTAAATATTCATGTTCTTGCTGCGGGTTCCAATAAAAGCAAAAAAAGCAGGATGCCATATAAACACTGTGACGGAGGGTCTCAGAGGTTTTGGAAAACCTCCACATTTATCTATCTTAAAACTGTTTTTAGAAATCAAAATTTGGGGGAGGGGTGGAGGTGGGAAACATACATTGAAATATGAACTCACATGCAGAGTAACTCCGTGTTGTTTGAGAAAAAAGGAAAATGAAAGAGAAACAGTACTTCATGGGGTAGAGTTTTTGTGTTGTATATGTTGCTTGGTTAAGCCAGCAAATTCATAAAATGCTGCAAAGTTTTGCTCTGGGAGAAAGCCGCTGACCAAATCCTTGCCATCTGTATTCTTTATGGCAGGGGTCCTCAACCCCCAGTCCATGGACCGGTACCAGGCCGCAGCATGCCAGCAACGGGTCCACACAAACAAGCAAAGCCCCATCCGCGGGATGCAGGCAGCACACAAAACCACGCCCCCTCCGGTCTGCGGGAAAAACCTCTCTCCACGGAACCGGTCCCTGTTGCCCAGAAGGTTGGGGACCTCTGGCTTATGGAAATGATGTATATACCGCATTGAAGACCATGTTCAGTCAGCCTTTTTCCTCCCTCTCCTTCGCTCCAAGCTCTAGCAGAAGGGCTGGTTCTTGCCCTGCCAATTTTGCAATTCTGAAATGTGCTGGTGATAAGATCAGGCTTTTCAAGTCTTGCGGACACGAAGTTATTGCTATTCTCTCCTCTTTCCTTTGCTCTGCTTGCCACCCGCCCCGTTCTTTCCCCACCACCACCCTACTCTGCAGGCTCTCGAGAAAGAAGGGATGAGTGCAAGACCACATTGCCTGCAGCTGTTCCTCTAAATCATAAAATTGAACAGAACAAAAGCAACCAGCGAACCCACCCTCCTAATCCCAAGGGGACAGCTGGACTTGGGAATGAGGAGTTCCAAACCAAAAAAACAAAAAACCCACTTCTTCAAGTGCTGCCTGAGATGTACACACGCACGACACACCAGCCACCAACATGTGTACCCAGAGGGTTACCTCTTCCTGACAGCATTTTTGCAAACAACTTTCTAGTTCTCGAAGAAGGAAGGAATAGGGGGCAGGTTCCCAAATGCTGTTCTTAAGTACCTGGCTGCTCTTCATTGGTCATGCTATTTTATAGCACACTCTACCTCCCATGAGACAGAATTTGATAGGGGAAGAGAGCACACCTCCACTTCTCCTATCTATGGAGATTCTCAGTCTTCCAGATCAGGGCTTTTCAACCTTTTCACCCATTGTACCACTTTTAGGATATGGCAATATCTGAGTACCACCAGTCGCCCAGCAAGGTGTCAAAAACTTGATGACCCCCCCCCCCAAAAAAGGAAAACAGTGATAAAGTACAGGTAGTCCTCGACTTACAACAGTTCGCTTAATGACTGCAAAGTTACAATGGCACTGAAAAAAGTGCCCCCCAAGCCACAGCCGAGCAAGACACCTGCCTGCCCGCTTGCCCGCGCTCTTCCTCCTGTCCGAGGTTTCCATTGTTGTGAGCATTTCTGTTGAGGATTGGCAGCAGGGGTGGGTTGGGGGGGATGTTTGGTTTTTATTCCCCCCCCGTCTGCTGGGTGGTTGCAGCAGGTTTTGGTCACTTCACATGACCCTGGGACTGTGACCATCATAAATATGAATCAGTTGCCAAGCATCTGAATGTAAATCACAAGACCCTGGAGATGCTGCAACATTCCACTTGATCGGCACTTCTTCTGGGCTCAGCAGAAGCACCAGGATCAGCACCGAGCTCCAGCTGGAGCCTGGCGCTGATCCTGGCGCTTCCGCTTCCGCTGAGCCCTGACAGTCCTGCAGCTCCAGCCGTCTCTCGCTCAGGCTTGTGCGGTGCTGCCACCGGTTCAGCTCATTCCCCTCCCCTGCTACCACTTTTCTAGGATGGTCGCGTACCACCTGCCAGGTGCCAATGTACCACAGGTGGTACCCGTACCACTGGTTGAAAAGCCTTGTTCCAGATTATGGCTGAAAATGTTTCAGAACCGAAGAAGCTTCTAGGATGAGAAGCGAAAGCTTTTCAAGGAAAAAGCAAGCAAGTCCAGTTGCCTTTTGAAAAGCACCTTTGGGACTTCAGCTCTCCTCCAGATTTAGGTTTCCAGGTCCTCAGAACAAAAGTTACATAGACCAAAAAGTAAAAAAATCCAGCAGAGCAAACGTAGCTACAATACCTCCCATGGCAATTTAGAACTACAATCCCCAGCAGCAAGGCCAAGGGTGAGAGACCCTGGGAGTGTCTCCTCTCTGCTCAGCCAGAAAACTGGGCAAATAAAGGCAAGCGGCCTCTGCTCGGCCTGGATCTTTGCAGAGACAAAATTGGGAGTCAGAGGAGGCGGGTAGAAGGAGACCATGTGTCCTGTCTTTTGAATCAAGGATGGAATAAAAATGTTTCAAAAAAAAAAAAATCAGATTTGTTTCCGTTTTGGCATAGGTTCTTTCCAGCCCTGACTAATGAGCCATATATGGCCTGTCTTTAAATGAGATTTGATTTCAGAGAACTCATAAACAAAGAGAAACAAAGCCTGCATGGCTGGCAGCCTCGACCTGAGGAGGCAGCTGTCC